CGTACATCTTTTCTCTGAGGCAATGACAGCAAGAAAGGTTTTCAAAAAATAGGCTTAAAACATCATTTATCGGTTTTTTGCACATTTAGCATGAAGCCTGTTAAAATTATGCTTCACAACATGCATGCAAAAAGATTTGATCACCTCACCAATCAAATTAACCATTATGTTTGAATTTTGAAATGACACTTGAGGATGAAAATAGGGTTATCAACTATATTGGAATGGTAATTTAATAGAACAATGTTAGGTGTGCTGTGTTATGTCCGACAGGCCTTGTGGTACAACAGATCCATCAAGCACGGCTCCATATACCAGTACCTCCACAAACTCCTATCATTCTGTTAGTCCCATTGAAGTTCCGAGGTTGGAGAGATTTGATTAGGGTAATCATGTAGTGAGTGAAACGTTGGATTTTAACTGCCCAGAAAATCACACAAGTCAGGATAATAGAATAATATTTCATTTTTGACATGGAACAATCAGGATATATCTACAGATGGTAAGACACAGTGATAAGACCAGATGCTGGGTTTGATCAGTTTCAGTTTAATTTCAACACAGGACTGTCAGCCTTATCCTGTTGCTAGTCTTTTCTCCCCATTATGCCTGTCTGATAACTAGAAAAGATGCACCATGGCTAGCCTTCAGTGGTGGAGAAACACCATCCCTTGTTTCAATATTATTACCATCTAACAAACATTTAGATATCAAGAATCTACGCTTTAGGTCGAATTTTCTGACCTGCTAAAGAGCAGATTTGTGCCTGATAGAAAACAGGATACAATGTTTCACATTCCAGAACTTAATGAGTCAAAAACACCCTAATCAATGTCGCAGACCTGCCTTGAATGCTAATTACAAACATCACACTAAATTGGATTACATTCTAATTGAAATTTCACAAGTGTACCTACTAGTACGGTATACCAAATTCTCACCACATCATCTATGTACCTCACTTTCCAATGACAGAGTTTTTTTTTTTTTTTTTTGCTATATCATTCAGCTGTCCTTGTGTTGCTAAGACTACTGCAATGCAGTGGTTATGTGGTTGCCATGGTTACTAGCCCCACCCTGTCTTGGGTCTGCCTGACCATACTCTAATACTCTAATAAAGCCATTTGGACAAAGTCCACTTTTTACACATCCGGCGTAATTTTTTTTTACTTCACTTGGCTAAGAATCACTTATCACTGCTGAAATCAGGCTAATGCAAACATTTGCTGTTCGTGGTGTCCAAAACATTTCATGGCCACAAAAGACATTTTTTCAACAAAGAGAAAGGGATATAAAACCCTCAGCGCCCTGCATGTGTGACTGATCAGCAATGATTTGAGGAATCACGTCATTGGGACCAGCCAGACTTTTACGAAATACTCACAAATATTGATAGACCAGGAATGAATAAATCATTTTTCATTGAAAGTTGTGAACATACATGAAAGGCAACTGCATGCATTCATCAGCATGACATCTGTCCTACTCGAGGATAAACTTAAGTTAAACAGTCAACTTGGTACGATAAAATCAACTGATATAAAAATAGTTGTGTTCTTACAGTGTAAACCAATAAACAGTTACTCAATGGTCAAATCTGATTCACAATTCGATGAACAAAGGCTAGGGCACCTACAGACATGTTTGTGCATTGGTCCAAGGCTACAGATATGTACAAGACAAACACTTTGTCAGCAACGAGAAAGTCTAGTCTGCCCAAACTTGACCATTTAAATTTGGTGCGGTAACCAAGGTTACCAGGTCTGGGCTTGGACAGCCAGACACATTTCCAAGACAATTGGCATGTGTTATAATCTTACGGGACCTCATCCATTCTCTGAACATGATCACCGACCACCAAACATTTACACATTCTAATGAAATAAACAAAATCTCAGAAAAACACACAGAGTGATCTCCCCTTTTTTTGACACATTTTGCAAAGTCGGAAACCTGGCATGCTATAATAGGTTATAGGGAGATTTTTGATTGCTGCGTCTGCCCATGTCCGATACTGGCCTGTAAACCATCGTCCAAGGCGACAGACAGGTCTGAACTCTCACCTCAAATGTCTAGACGCAGTAATGCTTTACCTCATTGAAAACACTGTGGAAGCTAAACACTCAAAGGTAAATATAACATTTTACTCTGCTTAAATCATATTCCTTGGATTAAAAAAAAATCAACACAAAAATAAAAATACAACAATGCAAGAAATTTCTAAATAATCATAAAAAAGAGGGAACCACAATCATGTTGTAAAAATTGGAACATTTGAGAGGGGAAATTTGAGGGGGGATTTCTAAACATCATTGTATTTGTGATTGCTTGGAAACCTGTATAAATAATGTTAGATCGAGGATAGGGTTGGGAGGATGTATAAACACTCACCAATATGGCTGATAAAACTATAAAAGTGAAGCTGACCAAATGTTCGAATACTGAGACATAAGTAGGTCAGGCTGGACAAACACATGTCACATGGGTGATGGAGGGTCAGATCTCCACCAGATGAGCCACTACACCTCTGTTGATCATCAAAGATGTCTCAAAGCTCATGGCTTCCTTCCTCCCCAATAAATCAAATCGATGCTGGGAAAGTTCAATTCAAAAATTAATCTTTATACGAAATTTTGCTGCTTCACTAGACTGTTGATCATCTTTATATTGATTTTTAGGTGAACTGTATAGAGGTGGAATAAGATGGAGGGGGCGACAAAGCAGCTGGCACAAAAATGAAGAGATTGGCTTAAACATCATAAATTCATTTTTTTTCTGAGTAGCTATCATAAGATGTAAACACTCAGTTGTGAAACAGGAGAAGTACAAACTTACTTAACTTCTCCTTGGGTCATAAAACTGCTCTTAACGAGACCCTCTTATTCTATATGCTGATAATACAAAATATAATTATTGATTTCCATGAGGGACAGAGATATGGGGGAATGTTTCACACCAAAGCAGTCTTATTAACCCGAGCTCATCCTCTCATGTCGAAAAAGCATGACGTCCCAGTCCCAGGGAGAGGAAGTTTGGGCTGGCCAAATTTAACAGGCAGGCCCGACAGGTCAATAAAAAGGCAAATATAGCAGGCAGTTCTCTGCTATCATCATTAATAAATTTGCCCTTTTCAAACTTTTTGTGGAGCTCCAGGGATTAATTACCTATGGATTACTTGACATGAAAATACTTCAAAACCTATCTTTTCATGATATCAACCCATAAATATTTCATGTTTCAGATGAGAATGGATTTTGAGAGATATACCTACAGAGCAATACTACTTCCTGTCTAACTTAAAACAAAAATTCCTGTTTCACTATGACTGCCGACTCGACATTAAATATTTATGAAATAGAGAAGACATTATGCTTTTATTATTTTTGCGAGATTTGGGGTTATTGCCTGGTTGTAAGACGTTTCAAACCCAAGAAAAAATCAATACTTGTCAGCATTGTGAGTGGCGAACCATTGGTCATTGGAGTTTTATTGCTTTCTTCATGCTAAGTACTGGTCTGGGCTGGGGAGAGCTGGCTAACACCAAGGTCAGTGTACAGCATAGGACAGAGGTGTCCATTATCCACAGGTCAAAATAAAACAACGAGCAGGGTGTCCATTATCAACAGGTCAAAATAAAACAAAGGGTTAGATGTCCATTATCTAATGGTCAAAATAAAACAACGAGCAACATGTCCATTATCTACAGGTCAAAATAAAACAACGAGCAACATGTCCATTATCTACTGGTCAAAATAAAACAATGAACAAGGCGTCCATTAACTACAGGTCAAAATAAAACAACGAGCAAGGTGTCCATTATCTACAGGTCAAAATAAAACAACGAGCAAGGTGTCCATTATCAACAGGTCAAAATAAAACAAAGGGCAAGGTGTCCATTATCTACAGGTCAAAATAAAACAAAGGGCAAGGTGTCCATTATCTACAGGTCAAAATAAAACAAAGGGCAAGGTGTCCATTATCTACAGGTCAAAATATAACACAACAAAGAATGCCAGGTTTTGGTATGGTCAGTATTAACCCTGTTAAGGTATGGTTAGTCTTAATCAGGTTATATAATGGTCAGTCTTCAACGGGCAATATAGTTTGGTCTTTCTTAGCCAAGTTAAGGTATGGTAAGTCATAACCAGGTTATGGCATGGTCACTCTTAACAAGTTGATTAATTGAATGGTCAGTTCTAACAAGGTTATAGTTTGGTTGATCTTAACCAGATTATGGTATGGTCAGTTATACTGGCAAAGATTTGTTCAGTCTTAGCCAAGTTATAGTGAGTCCAGTCTTAAACCAGGTTAGGACATGGTCAATTTTATCCTTTTCCAGGTTATGGTAGTGAAAGTCTTAACGATATATATAGATAAGCCAAAACTCTGTGTATGGTCAGTCTTAGCTCCAGCTATCAGGTCACATGTACCTACTGATAACATTTTCTGTCTATGTGTGAATTGCACTCTACAAATTCCCTTAAGAACTGGCGGGCAGCCATCTACAATCTAACATTACTTTGAATTATCAATTATCTTTTCAACAAAATCAAACTTCAAAAGCATTTTAATTTCAGTGATCATTGAGTTATAGTCACCAGGCATCAATATTAAACAGCAATAACGCCAGGTAAAGCCTAAGTTTAACACCCATCTTTTCTAATTTATAATTAGTTCCTACATTTTTTATAGCCATTTTACTTTAAGAACAAAAACTTTGACAGATATTACGGAAGTAGATGTAGGTTATTCTATCTATGATTATTTAATAAAAAATTGATCAGTCTCAATGAAAGTAGCATGTACCTATCCATAGAGGACTAGTCTTGGGGTATCATCAATCACATTCTATATGTATAAGAATATAATACCAATTAATCACACTCCAATGAATTAAAACAACCCTGATAGGAAATAATACATCTGATGTTGACTAACCATGTACTTTCTAACATTACATTTCTAGAAACTTGTAGTTTTAACAAGGTAAGTGAAAAAATATGCAAAACCATAGGTGTTCTCCTGATGTAGAGGACCATTGGGGTTTCCTTAATATAGCAGAGCCTAGGAGTTCCCCTGATGTAGCAGACCCTAGGGGTTCCCCTGATATACTGGACCCAAGATGTTCCCCTAATGTACTGAACCCTACAGGTTTCCCTGATGTACTGGATCCTAGAGGTTCCCCTGATGTACCAGACCCTCGGGGTTCCCCTGATGTAATGGATCCTAGAGGTTCCCCTGATGTACCAGACCCTAGAGGTTCCCCTGATGTATCAGACCCCAGGGGTTCCCCTTATGTATCAGACCCTAGGGGTTCCCCTGATGTATCAGACTCTAGGGGTTCCCCTGATGTATCAGACCCTAGGGGTTCCCCTGATGTATCAGACTCTAGGGGTTCCCCTGATGTATCAGACCCTAGAGGTTCCCCTGATGTATCAAGACTCTAGGGGTTCCCCTGATGTATCAGACCCTAGGGGTTCCCCTGATGTATCAGACTCTAGGGGTTCCCCTGATGTATCAGACCCTAGAGGTTCCCCTGACGTACTAGACCCTAGGGGTTTCCTTGATGTATCAGACTCTAAGGATTCCCCTGATGTATCAGACCCTAGAGGTTCCCCTGACGTACTAGACCCTAGGGGTTTCCTTGATGTATCAGACTCTAAGGATTCCCCTGATGTATCAGACCCTAGAGGTTCCCCTGATGTACTAGACCCTAGAGGTTCCCCTGATGTACTAGCCCTAGGGGTTCCCCTGATGTACCAGACCCTAGGGGTTCCCCTGATGTATCAGACCCTAGAGGTTCCCCTGATGTACTAGACCCTAGGGGTTTCCCTGATGTATCAGACTCTAAGGATTCCCCTGATGTATCAGACCCTAGAGGTTCCCCTGATGTACTAGACCCTAGAGGTTCCCCTGATGTACCAGACCCTAGGGGTTCCCCTGATGTACCAGACCCTAGGGGTTCCCCTGATGTACCAGACCCTAGGGGTTCCCCTGATGTACCAGACCCTAGAGCTTCCCCTGATGTATTAGACCCTAGGGGTTCCCCTGATGTACTAGACCCTAGGGGTTCCCCTGATGTATCAGACCCTAGGGGTTCCCCTGATGTACCAGACCCTAGGGGTTCCCCTGATGTACTAGACCCTAAGGGTTCCCCTGATGTACTAGACCCTAGAGGTTCCCCTGATGTACTAGACCCTAAGGGTTCCCCTGATGTACTAGACCCTAGGGGTTTCCATGAATATATCAGTGCTTTACTTTTTTATGTTTACGTGGAAAAAGCGTTTTGAGACCACCCATTTTTTTAAATGTCTATCACTATCACCCATGTCATTTGAAAACATGTGACCTTGTCACAGAGCAGCCTGCTCAATATAGAGGTATTTATGAATGAAAATTATCTTTTAACAGTATATAGTACATATTTTTTTCTTTTTCTATTTTTTAGACAAAGACATTTATACTTGTCATCTCAAGTTATCTTGTAGGTGCCCATTGTCTATGAGTTACCAAAACCTGGTTTATACCTTATATAAAGAGCTCTCTCAATGGCATACACTTCAAAAAAGAAAATAGATGCAGCTTCACAGCAAGATTGAACTCAATGAGTAGCGATGGTGAAAAGCCGGAATTTATCACAATGTCTCGTTTAAGTTTGAAAATTATAAACCTCTTCAAATATTATACGTGTTAGACACCTAAGTGAAATATTGATGTAACTTATCCGGAGAAAGGCTGATGGTAGTCAATACTGGTGTATACTTTCCTGTTTGTTTTCTAAAATCAAAATTACTTTTATGAGACAAATGAGAGATGATAAATATGGTTACAACAATGGTAAAAGTAGATCTACTGAACAACTTCACGGAGGTCCATTTTCAAGTTGTCAATTAAGAAACAGTTTTACATAAAAACAATCCCAAATCTAACCAGAGAATTTCTTCAAAGGTATGGAATATCTCAACAAAGGAACACAAGCCTAGAACTTGTGTTTAAGATGGCTATCCTCTGAACAATGCCAGAGTTAATCCTGACTTTAAGTCTTCAAACATGTGAACTTAGGTACAGGCAATGTGAATATGTACAAATGCTATTTGAAATGATGTTTGGTAGAAAATTAAACGATCAATCTACTAATTGAAATGGACAGGAACAATTCCGACCCCCTGATAACATCTGCTGGAGAAGAATCGCCTTGTGGATTAAATTTCCAACCAAAGCTATGTCATCAGTATGTACCTAATCCTAGCACTGTCGACTAGAAAATGTGAAAAGCTCATTAAAATGCATAAGGACATGCTGAATCAACTACTGGGAATTCGAGTGCAGTACACATGGGCAAAATCTGTCAAAAAATACTGCAGAATCATCTCTTACAGCGGTATCCAATATCTCACGACAGAGGCGGACAAATATCTTAACCAGAACCAGGCACAGAGCAAGGAGATTTTCTCCAACTTTCAACAATAGTAGAGACTGTTGAAAGAAAACTTAAACAGGAAAAAAAATGCAAATAAAACAGTAAAGACAAGTTTAGAATGTTGATTAATTAAACAATGAAGTGACAAAAACACATGACACGACAATGATTGAGTGGAGTTTTGACAATACATTACACTTGAGGAATAAAAGTTTGAAGTTTTTTGTTCTAAAGGAATTCTGAAAGTATGTATGCTGACATGTGCGTCCTTGGGCCTCCTCCACATGTGTGTGACCAGATCCCTGTTTTCTGCCAACTTTTCCACAAATTCATCAAACTCCTCAAGGTATATATTTCACTCTTCGGACCAGTGACATCACAGACTTTATTGGTAACACAAAACTGTTGTCATCAACAGGCTATTACAACAGCAGTAAGTGCTTGGTTATGTAATTACAGTTAAAATGTTTCTTTTCTGAAATGTTAAACACTCTCCTATTCCCAACCTTCCCCTAATACTTCCTGACTTGTCATTACACCCTCCTATTCCCAACCTTCCCCTAATACTTCCTGACTTGTCACTATATCCTCCTGTTCCCAACCTTCCCCCTAATACTTCCTGACTTGTCATTACACCCTCCTGTTCCCAACCTTCCCCCTAATACTTCCTGACTTGTCACTATATCCTCCTGTTTCCAACCTTCCCCCTAATACTTCCAGACTTGTCATTACACCCTCCTGTTCCCAACCTTCCCCCTAATACTTCCTGACTTGTCACTATATCCTCCTGTTTCCAACCTTCCCCCTAATACTTCCTGACTTGTCACTATATCCTCCTGTTTCCAACCTTCCCCCTAATACTTCCTGACTTGTCACTATATCCTCCTGTTTCCAACCTTCCCCCTAATACTTCCAGACTTGTCATTACACCCTCCTGTTCCCAACCTTCCCCCTAATACTTCCTGACTTGTCATTTATACATCGGTATACATTGTTTACTGATATAAATATCATGAGGTTTAGAAAACATTAAGAAAACATTTGAACCTTGGCAGTATTTCCTCCTTTATTTCTACCATTGTGGCCTATACCAGTGATTATAACTTATTTCCTCCTTTATTTCTACCATTGTGGCCTATACCAGTGATTATAACTTATTTCCTCCTTTATTTCTACCATTGTGGCCTATACCAGTGATTATAACTTATTTCCTCCTTTATTTCTACCATTGTGGCCTATACCAGTGATTATAACTTATTTCCTCCTTTATTTCTACCATTGTGGCCTATACCAGTGATTATAACTTATCAAAAAAGAAAATACACAGCTGGTTTACATGATACATACCAAACTAATTCCGATTGTTCTGTGAGTCCTTACAGGCATTGTAGAAATTAGAGTACTAGAAGTAGGTCAAGGTCATTTGAATTAGTAAACTTCACAGCATTCAACCTCTGATACCTACAGGTTAAAATATCACAACCATGTACTATATAATTATATGGAAATTTAGAAGAAAACTATTAGCCATTTTACCCAGAGTAGTTTATTTCTTTAGATAATGTTGGTTTAAACTTTCAGTATATTCAATCACTGCAGCCTTGTAAAAAGCCTTATTGCAAATGAACCTATTGGTCGATTAGAAGCTTTTAAAGAGTAAAAATGATGATGATGGGCAGACAATGGCACTGTATCAGACACTCCCTTTCACATTTAAGGACAGGTTTTAATTCTCTGACAGGATGTGACAAGCTATGGGGGTCATCTCTCTGACTACATTGGTTTTCTTCACTTTTCTTCCATACTGATCCATCCCTGTCAGTTAGAAACTTGATACAAATTAATATAACTTATAACAATGTGAAGTTAATTAAGGGTTTTATTCTCAAAACTGAATTGTATTTAATAGCATTTCTCCCACAAAGTGTGAAACAATAATTTCAATTGGTGTAGATACTCTTTAATGAACATCAAACACAAAAATAACAAAGTATGGTTTACATATAGCTGCCATCAACAGATGAAACATATTCAGATGGGGTACAAAGATAAGCTATTCAAAACAGGATATGAAACTTCCATAAGTTTTCCATGTCTCCCTAGAGTATGTTTTATTTCTTGCTTTAGGTCATGAAACTAAGAAATATTGAAGGCCAAATCAAGGTTACTTATTCCCTAAACTCCCAAACATAAATTGGTTCCAAAGTCTTGAAACTAAGAAAAATCAACCATCTGGTTCGAGGATAATAAATCACACGACCGAAAGTATTAATTTGATCAGAAAATCCAATAATGTTGCTCCCATCCACACAGGTTAGGAACTTATCATGCTACACAGCAAATGCAGGCAACAAGATAAAAATTCCCCATGGTCATGTCCATCAAAGAGTTTTTGCCTGGGTATCATACCACCTTCAGAAGCAGATCATCCTTTTTTCAAGTTTTTGTGGTTTTTAATGTTTTCCCACAAGGTTTTATTTTCATTTTCTCTCACCTTTAGACAAGTGGCACAATACCTCATTAAGATTTAATTAAAACACAAGTTAATTACACCTGACAAAGATGGAACAAGAAATCAATTTACCATGAGTTATGAAGCAACGTTCAGCAGAGCATCACGTGAAATCACAGTGGAATTCTGGTATGTGACTGGTAGTCCAACCAAGCAAATGTTGGTTGAATTTTTCATTTTTATGACTGGATGTACTGTACTATAAAATGCCAATTAGCGACAAAGTTTAGAATTCCACAGGGAAATTCACACACCTAGGTAGAAAGATTTAGTTAGAGATACCTCAGGAGGAATCTCTCTATAATTTATATGTAAAATCTATACGATCTCGCACACAATGGGTCTTAAACGGAACTAATCTATAAATATCAAATACTACAAAGCTACATTGATGAAAACAAAGAAAAATGACAGCTCAACCTGAAAGAAAATATGAGAATGTCAAGAAGTGAAAAGGACAGATTTGTTATGGGAAAGTAATACCGATCTCAGGAGAAGACACACGATATCAAATCCTGTACCAAACTAAAATTAGTCCTAAGACACGCCAATCAATTTTTTCATCATGTACATGTATATACGTAAACGCAAATCACACATCTATATTTTATCATAAATAACTTTCCTTGAAATTAATCATGAATCTCATGCAAGATAAATTTGATTTTTGCCAATTTGCCAAACATATGGCATCTGACTGAAGTGATGAAGACTGCACCGTGTGCAGACTTGCCACAATACTGGCGTACCAGGAGGGGGACAAGGCTCACTAATCGTACAGCCAAAGGACCACATAACACAATCAAATTAATGTGTAACTGTTGCAAAATCTTTTGCCTCTCTTTCTTGTTACATGACTGGTGGTAATAAGAATTTTTTAACAAGCCATGCATTCCCCCCAAAGGCCCTTTAAATAAATGGATTTTAAAATTGAAAATGATTTCTAAAACATCTCTCAAAAGACTTGAAAAAAGATCTCTCACCATTTTGTTATTTTTGCATGTTTTTGCGACTTTATTACTGGGAAGGAATTATTTGTAATAGCTGGATAAAAGCTGTGACAGTCAATACTGTAAAACTTAAAGAAAGATCCTGATGAAATGGATTTTTTGTACCAGACGGTCTATTAGATTACCAGATTTCCTCTAGTAAACATAGGATCCACTTGATTCCTGACAGTCACTACAATAGGGAGTCGATCAGCATCACCGGGGTCAATGTCACTGATAAACTGTCAAAACATGGCAGACATCATACAGGAAAATCTGCTCTAGTGTTTCCGTGGCGTTTTACTGAGAAAAGGACATCAGTTGTCTCTGTAAAGTTACACTATAGGAGCTTGACATCAGTTGTCACTGTAATGTTATACCACAGGAGCTTGACATCAGTTGTCTCTGTAATGTTACACCACAGGAGCTTGACATCAGTTGTCTCTGTAATGTTACACCACAGGAGCTTGACATCAGTTGTCTCTGTAATGTTACACCACAGGAGCTTGACATCAGTTGTCACTGTAATGTTATACCACAGGAGCTTGAC